AACAAAATTATATTTTTTAAAATTAGATAATGCTAATTATGGATACATTTCAAACAAACAATAATTTTAATTGAAAAAACGTACTGTTGGTCATACTATATTTCAGTTGGAGACTGTCCGGTTTTCGCTTTTAAATTTAGTCTTTACTGAAAAGTTGAATAATCCGCCTAGAAAATATTTAACTTTTCTTTTTTTTTTAAAAAAACATATTTATTGAGAGATATTGCAATCTTCACAATTAAGGGCATTTATAATAGTGTTCTGAGAGCACATTCACGCTATATCAACAATAAATAAAAATAAATAATACAGAACCGAAAGCAATAATACTAAAAGTAAATGTATATAAACTAAACTAAACAAAAAGAAACTAAACTAATAAAAATAACAATCCTCATACACGCATGGTTCTATACAATATCTAAAAAGAAAAATCATTCACTCAAGAACTCCGAGCCTTTCATCCCACTCGTGAAAGAGAGGACTATAGAAGATCCCAGCGCCTCTCACTCAGCCGTTTTTTTTTTCGGTGAAAAATCGAACCATTATTTATATAAACTTGTTTGTATTTCTTCAGTTTTGCTATCACTCCTTTAAATATTTCTTTGAGATATTAAAGAACGTGTAATTGTCAAACGAGTACCTAAACTTAATAATTTGATGAAGTGATATGGTCGACAACCACGGTCAATGAACTCTAATTTTTAATAACTTTGTCAAAATCTGATACAGATTACTATAAATGGCCTTGCAGCTTGAACATGAGTTAAAAAAAAAACAAAAAAAAAACTCAAGAATCATTTCGGATTCCTATCACAATCAGATTTCGATCAAATCGGAGACTAAATAATTAGTCCCTTCCTTCATGAAAACATTCCCATTAGTAGCTGTTTTAATAAAAGAACAACACTTTCTAATAAGAATTGTACAAATTATTGTCGTGACTAGTTTCATTAATCGCATGGATTATGCAAGGAGACTACAGTTGCTGGACGTTGTAATGCGTGCAGATCTATGGGAACTGAATAAAAACTGGGTCCAGGAGAAAAACCGTATTTTCTTGTGTTCGGAACAATAAATGAAGTATATTTTTTTTTAAATTAATTTTCCTCCATCATGTATCTCATCCGTGTGACTCAGTTGGGAGTCAGTAGGAACAAACTGCGACAAGAGCGAAGGTTAGTATCTCACGGCGGCGCAAAACCTACATCAATCACTTCACCCCAAGAACTAAATTTTTCCTACCATTCTTTTCTTTGTTTCACAAAATCTCGCCGTGCGCCAAAGGCTGGGCGCAAGTTGATCCACGGCCTGGCGAGGTGACATGATATGACAAACCGTAAGATTAATAAAACTTGTTATGATAACAATTTTTTTTAATATTACATTAGAAAATTCGTCTATGAGTATGAATTCTTCCTATATTTCTCTTTTCTTTAAACAACTCGTTTTTGGAACTTTTTGTCCACTGTCCATGGAGAGTGTCTCCCCTTGCAGCATTCGCTATTGCTGGTCACAACAATAATTTTTTTTATATATTTGATTAGAAAATTAGTCTATGAGGATTGATTTTCCCTATATTTCTCTTTTCATTAAACAGCTGCTTAAAATATTAATTTTCGAAAGGAAGGTCCTTTGGAAGATATTTGGCCCAGTTAACTAGAATGATGAATTGAGAATTAGACGCAACCAAGAACTAACCAAATTATACAAGGAGCCGGATGTGGTGAAATATATCCGGAAAGCAAGGCTGAGATGGGAGGGCCAAGTTGTACGGATGGATGAGACCTCAATCCCAAAGAAGCTGCTGTGCATGGAGCCGGTTCGAAAAAGAAAAGTGGACAGACCGAATCTGAGATGGAAAATAGAGTAAGTGCTGATGCCAGAATCCATGGTATCAGGAACTGGCGGAGGCTGCTCAGGACAGGGAAACATGGAGGAAAGCTCTTGAGGCAGCCAAGATCCAGTAATGGATTGTCGAGCTCGGGATAATGATGATGAACACATTAGAAAATTCCTCTATGAGGATTCATTTTTCTTATATTTTTCTTTTCTTTAAATAGTTGTTTTTGGAACTTTTTCCCAACCATGTTGGGGAGAGAGGGACGAGCCGCCGGACTGGATCTGCTAGAACTGGTCACGATAATATTTTTTTTTTATATATCTGAAAATTTGTCTTAGAGGATGAATTTTTCCTATATTCTCTTTTCATTAAATAGGTGTTTTTGGAACATTTTTTTCCATCATCCAAGGGAGGGCGTGCCCTCTGGCAGAATTCTCTAGTGCTGGTCACGATAATATTTTTTTTTATATTACATTAGATAATTCGTCTATTAGGATGATTTTTCCCTATATCTTTCTTTTTTTTATTTAAATAGCTGCTTCTTGAAATTTTTTTCCAGCTTCCGGGGGAGGGTGCGCTCCCTCGGCTGGATCCGCTATTGCTTTCTTTAATACTCTGATTAATCAAGACGAAGTTGTCAAATACCAAACGTATTACTTGAATTAACTCTATTTGTCAGGTATGCCACCCCACGTTTAACATTGAATATTGACGAGCCTATCATTCTTCTTTGAATCATCAATCCAACACGACTTGGCAGCGATACAAGACATAAGATGATATACAATGTTATCATCGCTTTAATTTCCATTGAAAAATTCAAGGGGCAAGATGTTCTTTTGCCACGTATTCCAATGATTCTTCCATTAATGCTATTTCAATACAAATGTTAACAGTTTTCGGTGCGACTCGCTTTTGCAATGTCCATCGGTAAGCACAAGGACAATCGCTGAAAATGTATAAGCTAGTTTTGAAGAATCCATTCTTCTCACTTGTTTATGGTCAGCTCACGCGTCGGACCTGATTTATTCCTGTGCGCGTCAGAAGGTACAACAAAAATATTGTTTATCCAAGCACAATTACACACGCACTCGAATAAATAAATAAAATTAAGACGACACTTTGAAATGTTTTTCATATGAGGATGAATAAGTGTCACTAAGAATTACAGGATTTAAATTGAATGTTAACATAACGATTTTCCTATTTTTTTAGATCACAGCAACGACTAAAGGGTAAGCTAGTTTATAAAAAATTTAAAAACTTTAGGTATGTATAAAAAAAAAAAATATATATATATATATATATATATATATATATATATATATATATATATATACATATCTAGTACATATTTCCAGTAGTATTCATTTATCGTAGCGACTATGTGAAAATATCGTTAATCGAGAATTTTTAGTCATAAAAATTGATCATAAAAACCATGCTCAGTTGGTGTTAAAGGAGTTTTTAATAACTTTGTATTTTTTACTTTCACTTACGTATATATATATTATATAGTAAGGGTAAGTATTGCGATCGAGAAAATTTTGACGTACCCTGAGTCGAAATGACCAAGCCCCGAAAAATGATCGTGTGTCTGGGTCTGTGTGTTTGTATGTTAGCAGTCTAGCTCAAAAACTAAAAGTCGTACGAAACTGATATTACGTATTTAAGATAGTTATATGCCTTAGATGTGGCAGCAACTTTTTCCTTAAAATCGGCTAACCGGAAGTGCCAATTTATATGAAATCTGAAACACATTTTTTTGTTCAAGTACCTTATAGTTAATTGGAAATAAAATCGTATTTGGGTTCTTCACTCTAAAGCCTCCAAAAACTCTATTTTTTGTTGGTGTTTATTCATTTTTGAAATCCCTCTTAATTCTTTTAAGATTGGATTAATAACAAATATTTAATTTTATGTAACGTTTACAACAATGATGGAAACATATCACTTATTAAGTGTTGTCAAATTATATTATAACAAACATGAATTTTTTTTTGACATTTTATGATTACATCATTTTTCATATAGAGTTTATTGGAATTGTTTTTTTGATTATCTTGTTTGTATGCAAAATCTACTTTTGGTAAAAGTTTCACTCTTTATTAACTTTACCATTCTACAGGGTGTTTCAAGGTTAAGTGTCTCAACTGCAAAAATGAGCTAAGGACCTCGAAACAAGAAAAAAATTACCTCTGAAGGTATGTCCGCAAACGCTTTGTTTAGGAGATATTCACACCTAAAGATTTACATTATTTGAAATATATGAAACCTATTTATTTGTTTTAAATACTTTATTAATTAAATGTAAACATTAACATTCATATTAAATGTTAATATGTGTGATTTCCTTGAGTGTTAAGGCAGGCTCGGCATCTTTCTTCAGCAGCATGAGTGGAAGAACAGCACTGGATATGTGTTATTGTTTCACAAGAAACAATTATCCTTCTTCGTAAGGAATTAAGGTCATTGACTTGACATGTATAGACTTTTTGTTTAATGTCACTCAAAAAAAAAATCCAGTGGTGTTAGGTCTGGAGAGCATGCAGACCAAGCCACTCGTCCTGCACAGCCAATCCATTGATTGGGATATAGGATATCAGATATGATTGAGCAAGTCCGGTGAATGCCCCTAATTCCCTAAGAAGAATGATAATTGAATCTTGTGAAACAATAACACATATCCAGTGCCATTCTGCCACTGTCATGAATATTAATGTTTACATTTAATTAATAAAGTATTTTTTAACAAATAAATAGTTTTTATTTATTTCATATATTTATAAATAATTCGTAACAACGAAAATCTTTAGGTGTAAATATCTCCTAAACAAAGCGTTTGCAGACATACCTTCAGATTTAATTTTTTTCTTGTTTTGAGGTCCTTAGTTCATTTTCGCAGTTTGGCCACTTAACCCTGAAACACCCTGTATATATTTATATGGGTCTTATTATAAATAAATTGATGACCTCTATTTATTTTTTATTGAATGCCATTACTAAATCATTAAAAATACACAGAAAGTATTTCACTTAATAGTAAAATTCTACTAACACTCATTCATTAAAGTAGTTCATTTAGCATATAGTTGTATATTTTTAAAATTTCATGCCTCTTTTAGTAGTAGGATTGAATTTTATTTTGGCCTCATAGGTGGACGGATTCCCAATAAGCTTGCCTGTAACAAACTGAATGATGGAAAAAAAGAAGACATGATTAAAATAAATAGTTGTGAAACAGATTTCTTTAATGTTCAAGAATTCCTTTCATCTAGTGTTAATAAAGATTCAAATCTGGAACTGTCAAGAGCACTTCTTAAAAAAAATAGGAAACATCAAACCGAAAAAGATTTCTTAATTGATAAAAATGAGAAGAAAGCTTCATTAAATCTTAATAAAGATGATTTTTTTGAATGTGATGCCAAAAAAGAAAATATCTATTCTTTCCAGAAAATGACTATTGATGAACTTCAGAAAGTTAGACCATCCAGACTTGGTTTCTTTGTTTGTAAATGTTTGACTGAAGTTGATTCGAGCATTACATGTGTTTTGAGGAGCCATCCCAGTAGTATTAATATAATTCCTTTTAAGTTTAATTGTCTTTCACCTGATGAAGAAGTAATTAGTAAAAGAAAATGGTAGTTAATTTTCCATGACCTGAATTACTTTGGAGCTGTTTTATTCTGTAAATTAATGTATTAAAAATATTTTATATTTTCATTATTTTTGTTCTAAACCTTTCCCTACCTGTTGTATATAAATGTGGTGTTAAAAATAACAAAACTTAGGAATACAATTCCTTGGAGTTCCTGTATATTGTATACAAAGATTTTTTTTCTAATTTCTTTAAAAGTCAATTTCAATAAAATTAAAATAATTTCTTTGTATTACATATTAATTTTCTCTGACTGGTTGTAAAAAACAGTTGTATTATTATGATTAATTGAATTTATTTTAATATTCAGTGTATTTATAAATTGATGTTAAAAAAATATCAAGATATCTTCATTTTAAGTTTCTTCTAATAGCACAAGCTCAAGGAGAACCAGCTCCAACACCGATAGTTACTGTTGTACCTAGTCCTGCGAAAACCAATGTCATTAAGGGATTTCATCTTCCTCAGGAAAATATTGAAGGTAATAAATTATTTTATGCTATTGCATGAATTTATTACTACTATGTTAGTTATAACTCTCTCTCTCTCTCTCTCTCTCTCTATATATATATATATATATATATATATATATATATATATTTCTTTTTGTTTATTTTTTAGTGGTTACATACTTTTTAAATAATGTATATAATGTTAGTATTTTTATAATTTACTTTTTGGCCAGATTTGTATTTTGTATTAATTCATCATTGTTATTCTAAGGGGACTTAGTCCCAGAATAAAGTTCAATTTTCTATTCTATTCTATAAATATATATATATATTTGTGTGTATGTGTATATACATTTAATTAAGTATATCTATAGATTTATGGCACCAGGTAACATTTTTAATTAGATTTGATCTCATCTTATGCTTAACAAAATTGATTTAAGCTTTATTATTTTTAAACTATAATTTACATTATGTATTAGCTTATACTTATCTATAATTTTTTTTTATTTCTTTATGACATTTACAACTGTATTACATAAATACATCAAGTAAATTTGGACATAATTGATATAATGACATGAATACACTTGCTGAGTAACTACCCCATGGTAGCACTCTAATGATATGACTACATTAGGAGATCACGGGGCCATCTTCTTTTCAGACGCCTCGGAGGGTTATCAGGAATTGAAGAGGAAGCAAGGTTAGAAACGAGAGGGTTGGGATGATTCTGAAGTTTATTATGGAAGGATAGGTATCTGGATTGGGCCAGATCTGAAACATAAGGAACATTAAGATCTTTATGGATAATTTTATTAGAGACAAAGTAAGGAGCATTGAGGATTTTACGAAGGATTTTGGATTGTAAGGATTGGATGCGAGAGGAATTCGATGGTTTAGTGGAGCCCCATAGCTCAACTCCGTAAGTCCAAATAGGTCTTATTATAGTCAAGTATATGAGTCTTTTGTAATTAATGGGAAGTTTAGAGCGTTTGTCTAGTAAGTGCTGAAGTAATCGGAAACGTCGAGCGGTTTCTTGTCGTTTCAGTCTAGTATGAGGATTCAAAGTTAGTCGTTTGTCCAGGTGGAGTCCTAGGTATCGGATTTGCTCAACAGGGATAAGTGGAGTATTGTTAAAGGAAACTGTAGGACAGGAAGTCGTCTGTTTACGACGAAGGGTAAAGGTAATTTGGTGGGATTTATTGGAGTTTATTTTAATTCTCCAGTTTTGACACCATTCTTCTAGATTTATGATGTGTGATTGAAGCATTTGGGATGCAATTGCTGGGTCATTGTTTACTGATAAGATACATGTGTCATCGGCATATGTGATGATGACAGTGTTGGGACAGGTAGGGATGTCAGCTGTATAAACTGTATAGAGGATAGGATCTAGGATACTACCTTGAGGAACACCAGCGGACTGGGAAAAAAGGGATGAATAGGCGTTATTGTGATTTACTTTAAAGTATCTATCAGTAAGATAGGAACGGATAATGAGGAAGTATGTAGGTGGTAGGAATTTTCGGAGTTTGTACAGCAGTCCCGGGTGCCAAACTCTATCAAACGCCTGTTCAACGTCGAGAAAGACTCCCGTACAGTACATTCCGCGCTCCAATGCAGAGGAGACTACATCTACCACACGATGACATTGCTGTATAGTGGAATGGGAAGTTCGGAAACCAAATTGGTGATCTGGGATTATGTGTTTAGAATTTAGGATAAGGTACAGGCGTTTTAAGATGAGTTTTTCTAGGATTTTGCCCCCCATGATGGGTAAAAGAGAGATAGGACGGTAAGAGGATGGGTATTCTGGTGGTTTTTTGGGCTTGTGAATCATTTTAACAATAGGTCGTTTCCAAGGATCAGGAAAATATGTGGAACGGAGTACAGCATTATATATGTAAGTAAGGAATAGGATGGCTTTTCGAGGAAGAAGTTTTAGGATCTGGGATGTAATTAAGTCATGTCCAGGAACTTAACGGGAAGGTAATTTTTGAATGATGTTGGATATTTCTAAGGGATGAAACGCTTTGGGTGGCAGAGACATTTGGAGAGGAATATCCAGTTCTGCTTCAATACAATTGATGTGAGTTGAATTAAGGATATCGGGATGTGGGTTAAAAGTTTTGATGAGATGTTGACCAAATAGTTGGGCTTTTTCTTCGTCGGATTTGGACCAGGTTTGGGAATCAGTAAGTAGTGGGTGATTAAAGTCTTGAAACTTAAGAAGTTTTTTGGTGGTCATCCATAATGATTTGTCAGTGGTTGTAAGTTTTTCAGTAAAATTTAGTAAATTTTGAATTTTCTAATTTCTGATTTCAGTTTGTTAGTCAGTTGGGTGTAATGTGATTTATCTGTTGGGTATCTAGTCCTATGCCACTTCGATCTTGCTCTGCGTTTTTCCTGTAATAAGATACGAATATGCTGTGGCAAGTTAGTATTTTGTGGGAAGTTAATCTTATTGATAAAGGTGTTATTATTTATACTGTCTGTTATTGATGATGTCAGTTTTTCTATGGCACCATTAATGTCTTCTTTTGTCTTTAGCGAGATTTTGAGGTCTAGTTTGTTTTCCAAATCATCACGAAATTTGTCCCAGTTTACTCGTCCAGTGATCAGTTTAGGAAGTGATGGTTTAGGAGCAAAGTCAGAATGTAGCGAAAGCAGAACTGGACTATGGTCTGAAGAAAGGTCATCCAGAGATTTGATTATAGTTTGGGAGGAGGAAATCTGGGAGGTGATAAATATGTCCAGGATATCGGGACGTTTTTTGAGGGATGTTGGAAAATAAGTAGGATTCATGGGCGAGTGGATGGAATAATTGTTGAAAGAAGAAACTTGTGAAAGGGTATTACCACCGGAGTTGGATGATTGACAACCCCATCGTTGGTGTTTAGTATTGTAGTCTCCTCCAGCATTAAAGCGCGATCCGAGGGATTGTAATAAGGATTCAAGTAGGCTGTACGAGAGGGAATTGCCAGGAGGACAGTATACAGCTGAAAGTGTTAGATGGAAAGGACGAGTTGAGAGGATTACAGAAGTTGTCTGAATGGCATCTGTTGGAATGGAAGGAATAAGGGAATGGAGTAAAGATTTGTGGATAAGGATGCAAGAACCGGCGTGGGCAGTGTTTTCTGGGTGGTCAGATCTATAGGTGATGTAGTCACGTATGTAGAAATGTGTCCGTTGGGTGAAGTGAGTTTCTGTTAGGAGGGCAATGTCAATATAATTGTCATGGAGAAATATGTCTAGTTCGTCACGGTGGTTTTGCAGTCCATTAGCGTTCCATAAGAGAATAGCTAGGGACTTTGTGTTCATCGAGGGAAGCTAAGCGGGATTTCGGAAAGGAGTCTGGTTAGAAGGGTTATGAGCGGTTTGATAGTCTGTTGAAGATCTATCAGGAATGACGATAAGATAGTATTGATTTCGGATGGTGTTTGGCTGGGAAGTGGGTTTGGATCAGGAGGTAGTGATGGGTAGGTTATGCGACTAGGAATGTTGGGTTGGGGATGGGCCCATCGTGGGGTACAAGGAGGAGGAGGATCTAAATTCTGTTGGACTTGTGGAGGGGGGTTCATCCTGGGATTAGGAACGAATGGAGCTGGATGTGGATGCTCTGGCGGGAGTTTGACTCTTAAGGGTAAATGATTAGGAGGGATTTGCTGGCGAGGAGGTTGAGGCTGAGGCTGAGGATTAGGGATTTTGGGCTTGGATTGGAAGACCTGAGGCGCCTGACGTTGAGGTTGCTTCTTACTGATGGAAGACTGGGAGTAAGAATTTCTAAGATTCTGGTGAGGTGAGTCCTTAGCTGTAGAGATGGATGGTTGTTGTTGGATGACGAGGGAAGGTGAAGTCGGCAATGCTGGGAAAATTTCCTGATTTTCAATTTCAGGTGTCTCAGTGTAAGTTTTCTGAGCAGCTCCAAGATTTTTCACCGCTGCGTTTCGTTATCTTTGTTTGTAAAGATTTTTATACACTTCACATCCTCTGTAGCTCGCAGGATGGGCTTCGCCACAAAGAGCACACGTCGCAGGCTCATCTCTTGGCTTCTGACAAGTGTCTGAAGCGTGTAGGCCGGCACATTTAACGCATCTGACTTCGTGATAACAATAGGCCTTTGTATGGTCCAAGTTTTGACACTTAGTACATTGTACAATTAGAGGCTTCTGTTTCGGTTCCTCAAAACGGACTATTGAGTAAACCAATCGTTGAACCTGGAATATTTCAACATTAGTTTTTGCTGGTTCCAAGTCTATAAAAAATAATGGTAGCGGATATCTTTCTCTAGGATGTAGTACAGGTGCTATGTGCCTGACATTATGACCGATTTCTTCGAGGCCCGATTTGATAGGAGATATGGGTGTGGTTGAATGTAGTCCTCTCAGGACCACTCGATACGCCTTTTCTTGTTTTAATTGGTAACAGTGGAAGTCGTAGTTATTGGTTGTTAAAAAATTGATCAGTTTTTTATAATTGTTTATAGAATTAGTATTGATTTTGATGTCGTTCACTCTCGAGTAACATCGAAA